ACATGATGTACCTTGTGTGTGTGAAGTTTGAACTCGATCAATCCAAGCATGTCTCAGATACGGATCCAGAACTGAATTCTTTAAAACAAAATGGCCGCCAGTCGGCCATTTCGAACCCGATCCAAAAAAAAAAATGACGTGCATCAAGGTCCTATTATGTTTAATGTATGTACCAAATTTGAACAAAATCCGTCCATGCATAACTGAGATCCGGGTCCGGAATGGTGAAAATGTGCGATTTTGATGCATTTTCGGCCTTAAAATGGCCGCTATTCGGCTATCGTTAATCAGATCATGAAAAAAATGCATGTGCATATGTCCCATATAATGTGTGATGTATGAGTGAAGTTTGAACTCAATCGGTCCATGCATGTTCGAGATACAGGTGATCACGGACGCACGGACGCACGGACGCACGGACGCACGGACGCACGGACGCACACAGGGCAAAACATAAGTCCCCGTTTTCGGACTGCGTCCGAACGGGGACTAATTAACTGTATTTCATTCAGTCGCTAAATTGTGGAATAGTTACCTTTATATATATAGAAATAAAACCAAAAGCACATTCAAAAAATTCGCAGTATATAATTATGTTGTTAAACTTTCTATCTACCAGATTCTGCCCTGGGCCGTTAAACAGTTCGAGTTTTAAAAAAAATAAAATGGGACCAAGACAGTTTTTTAAGATGTTTTTTTAACACTGACGTCAATTTTCAGACATTTCAATTGTTTTTGTGTCAGGCGTCAGTTCTGTACATTGAGTGTCACTGTTGTTTCTCCTGACAAATTGCAAGTGGTAGTGCTGACACATAGTATGTCTTTGGTGGTCCAACTGCCGGCGTTGAAAGTCCGCGTAGGTGGATTTTTCGATGAAAATAGAAGTCCCAAAAAAATATTTGATAATCATTTTTTTAAATTTTTAACCCAAAATAAGGGCGATTTTTTTTGGATGGGCCAATTTATGACAGAATACTGAAATAATATTATTTTATGTGTGGTGGAAGCTTTTTGTATTTTTTACAGATACAGTGTAATTCTTCATTAAAGGGAAAAGATTTTTTTTTCATTTTTTTTTGTACTTTTCAATCATGCAGAGGTGCAAGAAATTTCTTAATAAGAAATGAAAAAAATTTTTTATTCATTATAATATTGGTTATTGTTATACACTATATAACTTGCATTCATTCCTAAAGATGCAATCATTTTATTATAAATTTTATCAGATCAAATTAGTGTGATGAACTTCTTATCAATATCTACCACATCTTTTGGTGCTCCATATAGTTACCATAATATAAGAATATTACTGTGTTTATAGTGGGGCCCTGTCAACATTTTGTGCAAAGATCAAGTTCTACAATTCCATATAGTTACCATAATATGGACCTAAAATAGTAGAACTCTAGTTCCAGCAACAGAGCCCCTGTAATCACCTTGCCGTTTTTGTCAGTACTTTTTATCTTTTACTTTTAATCACTTTTTTTATTGTCTTGTAGTTTTAGTGACCTTACTGCTGTACTTTCAAAAGTCAGTGTTGTGTCAATCAATAAAAATAAAACAAATTAATAAATAAAGTAAACTTTTCAAAACTAAATCAGTAAATTTATATTACTAGTCAACTATGTACTGCTCACCAAGATTTCTCTTGCGAAATTGAAATGTTTTGTGGTAATGTTTGCTATGTGCTTCTAGTTTATGGAAAAATAGGCAAAATGCAGCTACATCAAACTTACCTGATTAATTTCTTG